ATACAGAAGCACGCAAGATTTTCGGTGGCCCGGAGCATCTGCAAAGGAAACAGATTTGGCCTTTCCTACCCATGGCAATTCCCCATCCCTCTTTGAAGCGAGAGTGAAGGCCCTGGTTATGCCTATGCTCTCTGCATTCACTGAATATCTGAAGGAGCACCTCCTTCCATATACACCTGCCTGGCCTCCAAGAGGTCCTTCTTCAGGAGCCTTTTGAAAGAGATCAGAAGAGTGGCTACCTGGAGAAGGGCCTTCTCAGCGGTGGCACCCCGGCTGTGGAACAGGCTCCCCAGAGAGGTTTGCCTGGCACTGATGCCGTTTTCATTTCACTACCAGTCCAAAACCTTTTTATTTTCCCATTTTTAAATGCTGGCAGTGTTTTAAGATTGATTTTACATATTATTTCTGGATGCTCTATCTTATTCATTTATTTAATTGTATTACCGCCCTGAGACACTGTGAAGGGCAGGATGTAAAAGTTATAAACAAAGAAACAAACGAGTGAGTTCAGGAAGGAGGGGACTGTGCTTCTGTTTCCTACTTTAGTTCTGGGGTAAGTTACGTTTCCTTCGGTCTCAGCCACTCACTGCCTGTGCTTTGAAATTGCCGAAAACAAAACCAGTGTTTGGTGACTGGAGCTGCCTGCCATGGCAGGTATCTTGGCAACGGCCAAGGCCTCTCTTGTCCATGGCAGCCATTTTGTGAGAGCGCTCACAACACTTCATCAATATTCCAAATACGCCTACTTATCCAACATGTTGGGATCCCCTGCTGTTTATGCATGCCTGAGAGGCGGTCCTCCTTAATTCATTGGGGCTGACGTCCAAGTACAAATTTATTTATTTATTTTATTTATTTTTCGATTTATAGCCTGCCTTTTTCCTACAAAGGGCTCAAGGCAGCTTACATCTCCTCCTCCATCTTATCCCCACAACAACAACCCTGTGAGGTAGGTTGGGCTGAGAGTCTGTGACTGGTCCAAAGTCACCCAGTTGGCTCCATGGCCAAATGTAGAGAACTCCAGTGTAAAATACTCACTGTCCTTTAAGCCCCCACACTGAGGCAGCTAAGGAGGTTAAATAAGCCAAAGATTAAAGACACCTTTAGAAAGGGGTGAAGCCCAGGAGCCAGAAGAACAGGATGCCCAATCATAGCAGAAAATACAAGGACAGAGCCCAGTCTTTCTCAAATACTTTCTACCAAAGTGCTATTTTCACTGAGAAGTGAAAGGATAATAAATAGAGGCTAGGAGGGTTTCCTTTGGAATGGGATTCCACCACTGCAGGATACGAAGTTCAGCTAAAGGAAAACTTGAGCTTATGCAAACAACAAGAGCAACCAAAATTCCCAGCACCCAAGCTTCGAGAAGTACAGGATATTTCCGCAGTGCAAATAGATTTTTGTGGGATTTGTGTCGAAAAGTAGGGCATCGAGCCGGTCCGGTTTGTGCTGTTGCAGTCACTGTTCCCATTAACGCCAAAGCTAGCACCGCGCAGAAAGTGCTGACCGGGTTAACACCCCGAGCCACTGAAACTGGCTTAGGTCCAAAGGTTTTCTCTTTCTGGCAGAAGGAACCTTGCTCTGTCAAAGGAAGATTCCTTCTGTCAAAGAAGGGGGTATTTGGCTTCAGTCTTCAGTGTAAATAACGTCGCTTGAGCAGGTCTTTGTTGACTATACATTCCCAGCACACTTGGAGGGGATACGAAAATGTTCCGTTTCAATTCTGCACTGAACCGCTAAGGTGGATTCTCAAGCTATCAAGGAATTCAGCAGCTGCTGTTCCATAATGCTTACTTCCATTTTAATCTCGAGGCTCCTGCAGCAGTAATGATGTTATTGTTTAGTTGTAGGATAGAACAAAAAGAAGCAAGGACATTCAAAATTGAGCGACAAATTTGGCCTCCTGTTTCCTGACCATCAGTACAAATAAGGAAACACTGAAGGGAATGTATTTTGCATAATCAGACCACAGAAAACATACGAAATCAGGTGTTGTATGAAAATTCTTCCTGTTGTTGTTCTTGCTAGTCGCAAAGTCGCGTCCGACCCATCGCGACCCCACGGACTTCTTCCAGGCCTTCCTGTCCTCCACCATCCCCGGAGTCCACCCAAGCTCACAGTCTACTTAAGCTTTCTGAGCCTAAGCTCAGATAAATAAGAATCCACATGAGAAAACTTTATTTTATTTGATACCTATTCCTGAGATAAGGAAGGCATTGGGTAACACAACGGACAATATTCCCCATTACAAGAAGGATTATGCCAGTCAATATTTGAAACGTGGATGAACTGCACTTCAAAATCCTTTCTCCCAAGCCATGAATTCTATGCCAGCATTGATCAAATACACGATTCAGAACAAAATTGCTCCTGAATTCCATTTTCAGAGCCACAGCTCTGTTGGACTGATGACAAGGGGTAAAACAACAAAACTGATTTATACTTTTGGGCACGGTGGGACAAATAAACAACACCAATCATTTTAGCACCCTGGCACGGAAGAGCCTAGGTCCAAGTACTTCAATATGCAAAGATCTGCCCAATTAACAATATTCACTTCCAACAATGAATATGCAAATGTTTCTTCCCTCCTTTTTTCCCAACTCCCAGCACAGGTAACGTGGAAGAAGCCCACTCATCTGTCATTCATGTTAATTTAATTATCAGACCACATTCAATTAGCCAATATAAAATGCAAATGAGGTGACAGTTGACAAGAGAGACTAATTACAGTAATTAATTAGGCCGGAGGCCGAGGAGGAAACTGCAAGTGTCAGGAGACACAAGGAGTTTGTTAATTAACAGCAACATTTTTAATTAGAAACTGTAATCCTATGGTAAGCCCGATTGGCTTACTCAAAGGCAGAGACATCATTTTTATTATACTGCTTTCCGTGAAGGGTCCATCGTGGTATCGGGGGACCTGTTCAGCTAATGGGCCTGATGGTGGGTAAGAAAGAGGGCAAAATGTAAAAGGACCCTGAGGCCCTTCCCGCAGGGGCCCCTTTGGGGGAACTCGGGAGGAAAGCGCTCACAAAGGCTGATTCGAAGTGCGTCTGAAAAACGCAGCCAACTCGGCAGGAGTTCTGCCTCTCTACTTTCACTCATGCCCTGATGAGCCCTGAGCTCGGCCGGAGAGAGGACTGTGAGGGACTGCAGCCAAAAAGGTGACAGCCTGGAAGCATTTGTTCCTGCGGGGGTGGGGGGGGGACATGTTCGGCCCTCTGCCTGTCAGGAACACAGCAATCGGCTCTGTGGCAGCTGGTATGCAACTATCATAGAGTCCCCATGAAAGAGCAACCACTGCAGGAGCCTCTCTGGCCAGTCTCTCCTATCCTCTGTCCAGGAACAGACGGGTGGACACATGAGGAAGTAAAAGGCAATGCAGGCAGGAAGCTGTGCAGCTTGGGATTGAATTTCAGGTGCGGTGGCAGACTGGATACAGGCCAAGAAGGTCTGGGTCTGGGGGATGGAAACCACGATAAGACAAGACCACAGCTCTTCTGTTGGGTAGGTCATGGTAAAAGAACGGCAACTGCTAGCCGTGGTACCATGCAGGGGGTTGTGTTGTGTGAAGCCAGCCAATGAGTTCAGCCCTGGGTCCACCTGGCTCGGTACATGCTCAGGATTTAAGAATAATGAAGGCGTTGCCAGAGTTCCCACTAAAATGGGATACATTGCTCAGTGCGGAGGCAAGACCAGTGCGACACCAAGGCAGCTCCTCAGGAAGTTTGTGGAAATGTCCACCGGTGTTCTACCGTTCATGAAGTGACTAGGGATGTATGGATTTGGTGAAATCCATCCTATCTGCAGATTGTCAAGCAAAATGTATACTGCCATTCATTCCCCGACAGAATGAGGTATGTTTTAAACCAAGACGTTGTTCTAATGGCAATTCACATGAGCATTATCGTGCATTTGCGCAAGCGTGCTAATCTGCATTTGTGACATACATTATGACCGTTAATGGGTTAATACCCTGGTGCAAAGTGTGCATTATGGTCCACGCGTACATGCAAATTAGAGCAGAAATTGTGCAAAAGTGAAAAACTGGACCACAAGATTGCAAAAGCGGCATAACGAAGAAACAGCCAGGCCACTGGGGAACCCAACGGCTGAATTCAGAAAAAGCCCAAGTCACTTGAATCCATGGCAGGAACAAGTGATGAAAATACACTTGTTCCATGTTTGCAAGCAAACTATACAATCTACATAACAGCATCCAGCTGAAAAGGAGCAGAGAAACACATGGAAACGATTTGCAGAGCAAACGAATACACAAAATGTCTAAATGCCTCGAAAGCCAAAACAGAAAGCCTCAATCTGCTCTGACTTGCATCCTGGGGCAAATGCTTCAAGGAATTGCTGGCTTTCTTGGGATTACACCTGGTCATGGAGTAGACCCATTGAAACAGCGCCTAGCTTAAGTCCCATTGATGCCAATGACTCTACTGTAAATATAACCAAGGCCAGATAACCATCCATTTCTTTGATATCGTTTTCTTCCAAGAAGCCAAAGGTAATGCCTAGACTCTCCTCCTCCTCTCCATCTTATCCGCACAGCCACAACCCTGTGAGGGACATTAGTCTAGGGGTTTGTGACTGGCCTAAAGTTACCCAAGTGAGCTTCATGGTCCCCTGGGACTTGAACCCGGGTCTTCCCAGTGTCCCGCTCCAGCTGCTATATCACACCGCTTCTCCGCTGCACCATTCTATCTATCTACCAATTTTCCTGGAACGAATGAGCACCTTTTGAGAAAGAGCCGACAAATGGAACTCTAAACATGCTGACTTGGGACCTGATCTGCTGGTTTTCTAGGGACGTGTTTTCACAAGAGTGCTTGGAAAAACGGGCAGCTTTCTCGCTGGGGCTTCTCCAGCAGGACCAACACCCCTTGCCAAGTGCCTTCACGCTATCTTGCTCTGAAAAGCCAGAGGGCCTCCTTTCGTTCGTAACTGGCAACGCCGGTGCTCAGTAATCTCCGAAGTGACGTCCTTACCTGATTATCCAGGTGCTTCACCGTGAAGTATCCAACGCACACGATGACTTCATGCAGTAGTGCGTCGCAGGTATGCTGGGAGCAGTGCCACAACAAAGAGCTTATAATGTGCCGGAATGCCAGGGACAATCCTTCACCGCCAACGATCGACTGAGAGGCAAAGGCAGAGAGAAGCGTAATTATGCCAGCTGCGGTGGGAGGTGCTTGCCATTTGGGCGCCGTTGTGGGGACGCTGGCTTTGGCACTTGCTCAGAATCCGTGGATTCAACAAGGTCTAAGGGGGTAACTTTCCAGCGTACGCCTTACGTTTTCAGCATGAGACTGCTGTAAGCCGCTTTGGGTTCATGAGAAAAAAGCAGGATATAAGTCGAATGAATGAAAAATAAATAAGTCGGTGCTGCTGTGAATAAAGAGCGGATTTTATTTTAAAAAGGCAACGATGGGCTGGTGATGGGTTAGCCTGAAAAGCCCAGTCTAAAACCAGACCTGTTTAGCAATGCACGTTCCAGGAAAGCAAAATTCATGCAGCTTGCTTCCATTAGCTTTATTTGACTCTCGCTTTGCTGCAACTGGCCCCGGAGAACACAGGGACGCCTCGGGGATTTTTGGCTGTGGCTGGACAATTGCCTCACCCAAGTACCTACACATGTAAACGGGCCATGACCGGCTGAACATGGCTTGATGAACGGGCTGCCGCACCTTCTTCACCCCTCGGAGAAGTCTGTGGGGGCAGCGGGCCCTGCCAGGCAGCCTGCGAACCATCCAGGGCCACTGTCTCAGACCCATTCATGACTCCATGTCTGGAATGCCTGTGCAGACAACCAACTCGTGCAACAAGCTAAACTCTTCCAACTCTTCGTTTGGAAAGATATAACCAAAGGGGGACAGGGGGGAATCCCTGCTTGCTGAAGTTTGCAGGACGTGGGAGGACACAAACAGGCAAGCTGCTTGTGCCAGGAAAATTCTGGAGAAGTCCACTTTATCTGTGCAGCCCGCGGCCTCTATTTAATAAACATGTCAGCCAGAAAAAGCGACACCAGGTCAAAGGGGAGAAGTGATGCATGAGCAACGAACATCAAAGTCCTCTGTGCTGAATGAGCATCCCTACAGGCGTGTGGGAAAATTTCTGCCATGGATGGGTTTTTGGCTCTGTCTTGCACACGGTGCGAAACAGATAGGCTGGCCATGTGTGCCAGAGCGGATGCACGCCAGCCCGGCATTCAGCACAGACATGCATTCTCTGCCCCCACTTCATCTGCTTTTATGATGAAGGGGATTCTTCCATTTCCCAAATTAATATGCCATGCTAATAATCCCATTTTTCATGTCAAAAGAGGAGCCTCCGCTGGCTCAGTGGTCAACCAGATGCTTCCAGAAAACCCACAAGTATTCCTGCATTCAGCTTATGCGTTCCTTTGCCGCGAAAGCTCTCAGGTTCGTATGTGTAGCACAACCAAACCCAACTTCAGGAAAAGCGGGTCGGACATCAAAGCTAGAACCCTCTTCCTTGCTGGTAACCGGCATTCAGTGGAGCACCAGCTTCTCCATGGCTACAGAAGCTCCCCCTGGACAAGCGCCATTGAACTAAATGGGATGACCATGGACGGACTCTTCCACGCCTTTAACTGGGCCTCGCTCCACGGAGGTCTGCACCCCGCATCATTTGCCACCAGATATTATGTGGTGACATCTTCTTGGATCCAGTCCTTTTCCTTCCCCACATGTTCCTGCACGCCCCAAGCTGAGCACTCCATGTTTAACAACTGCTGATAACAACGGGGCAAGGAGCACTGCGGTTTGTATATAAAACGTTAGAAGTCATTTTTCAAGGAAACTATATATTTCCTCTTTAACCAGTTTTAATGGCAGTTCAGAATCCTGCATTGCTTCTCTTTGACACCTTCCAACTGTTTGGATTTGCAAGATAAATGGAAAATGTACCTATGAACTTTGAGATTATTTGTGTTTATGTGAATTTTCATGCTGCCCTTTGCCTTGTACTTCAGGTTTTGGTCAGTCATTGTCTATCCTATTTTAACTAACCCCCTCCCCCCACAAAAAAAAGAGAGCAAGAAGGGAGGGAAGCCCACTGACGGTGGATTTTAAAGAAACACTGAAGCTTTCAAGAACTCCGAAATGCTATCATCACAGAGCCACCAATGACCTGCAAAAAGGTGATGCAAATGGGCAACTTTTAAAGAAAACAAATACATAAAGGAAGTATAATAGGGGCATTTAGCTGGGATTGTAGGTCAAGCTGGATGGAGAGCTAATTAAAACCCAGGGCAGGAGCGGTGCCGAAAAGAGGGCCGGCTCTGCAAACCTTCTGCCCTGCAAAGCAGCCGGAGCATCTTTTAAAGAGCGTAAGTGTCTGGCCAGAAGAGGGAGGGAGCTGTCAGGAGCTTTGGGTTCAGGTGCCCTTTGTCCCCTCTCCCAGGATAAGGCTGTGGGTTTCCGTCCTGGGTTTTCGGGTTAATGATGAATCACCCCTCCCAATGTGGCTAGGAGAAGAAGCATCAAACTGGTGCACTTGGAAGGGAAAGGGAGCGGGCAGAATTAAGGTTACGAACACAAGAAACGCCTCCCTTAATCGGGCCAGGGATCTATCTAGTCTATTCACAAAGAGGCCAACCAACAGTCCATGGGAAAACCACAGATACGTCGCCATTCCCATACTCTGGAATGCTCTCCCCAGAGAGGTCTGCCTGGCACTGACTTTATATTCTTTTTGGCGTCAGGTGAAAACCTTTTTATTTGCCTGTCATTTTACGAACTAGGAATTTTAACTGGTTTTTAATTACCCACAGGTGCATTTTGGTTTTGCTTTTGTTCGATTTTGATCTGGATTTTGATTTTGACTCTGTTCTCATTGGCAACATGTTTCTGTTAGTTTCAGGTACATTTTAAATTATTACTGATTGTTGTTTTGACTATGGATTGATTGTTTGGTTCTTGTAAGCTGTCCTGAGACCCCCTGCGTAAAGGAAAGGGATATAATTATTTTAAATAAATAAATAGTGTGCACACAGAGGCACACCGGAAGTGACACCCAAGGTCTAATACACCAGATATAATGAACTGGGGGCCACTGCCACACCTTCCTCCCAGCTCAACTGGCGTGACATTCCCAACGGCTCCCTCTGGTGACGCCAAGCCCTGGCTTGGGGGTGTCCGAACCAGCAGGGAAAACTACCTGGAACGCGGGCAGGTCCAGGACAGCAAAACGATTGAAAAAGCGCAAGCTCTGAAGGGCCACGTGGACCGTGTTCTCGGTGTAGCTCTCCTTCGGGCTGGCCGTGCTCAGGTCTGCGATGGTGCCGTGGAAAAGGATGCAGTATAACATATGCAGCACCCCCACCAGATCCGTGGCCTGGAGGGCCGCCGTGAGCCCCGTGGGATCCTGGCGGGTGTCGTCAAAGATGCTCCAGGACCTGCCAGAGAGAGCAGCGCAGGGTCACTTGGGCAGCCAGCCAGCCATGCAAGCTATTGTTATTTATTTCTTAGGATCATCCATGTCCTCCCCCTCTCTGCTGAAAATACAGTCCTTGGGGCAGCTAATGAGAGGTTCATAAGCTAGAATTTTGGAAGACAAAAACGGATAAAACAGCTGATTTTGGTCTGCAGCAGCCCAGCCTACACTGATGTAAAAAAACGATTCTGGTCTTAAAAAATCCTCAGGCTTCATTCTTGAAAGATTCAGTCCCTGTTGTTATTCTTAAGATAAATAACTCTCAAAACTGAAGTGGTAAATGTCAGGAGAAACATGGAAACGACTTCCAGTTCTGGTGAAAGAAAGACGCTGACAAAAACTGGGGGCATTCTCTGTCCCTCAACTTCGCCCCATCACTATTTTCAGCTATCCATATACATTTCGTTTCATTTCATTTAAAGCTTTTATAGACCATCCTTCACTAAAAAGTCCCAGGACAGTAGTATTAATTCAGTAGCATTAATGAAAAGTATTCATTCAGCCTAAGGACTGATTAATACTATTGTGTGTGATTCCGGAGAGAAGAATTCACTAAGCGATTCGGCATCTATTGCACCCGCTTTGAGCGAGAGGGTGGAGAAAATCTGAGCGCGACGGACGCATACTTATTTATTTATTAAAAACATTTCTATGCCGCCCCATTCGCCGAAGCCTTGGGGCGGCTCACAACATAAATTAAAATACAAGAAATAACAATATAAAGTAAGTTGCCCTGGCCAGATAAAATAAGCAAATAATATTAATATTATTAATCGTATACAGCTCAATCGACCCTAACCCACCCTTCCATCTGGCTCCCTTTTCTTTATTCCGTAACTGGGGTGCCTGTGTGTGCAGGTGTATATGTGAATGTATGTATTCACACACCTGAACACACGGCTGTCCCACTGAGCCCTCTGTGGGGGCTTCTGTGTTCATCCACGCCCACGTGGCCCACACGGGTGCTGTGGCCAGGGTCATGCGTTACTTATACAGACACTGGCTGCTTTCCACCGCGTCAGATCCTTGGTCCACTGAGGCTCGTGTAATTTTTATTGAGTGGCAGCGGCGCTCCGGGGAGGCAGCTGGGGGTTTTGCCAGCTTTCTCTCAGGGGAGCCTGCGAACTGATCCCGAGACCTTCGGCATGCCTGCCGCACGCTCTGCCACGGAGCGACGGCTGGTCCCTTCTAGAGACCCTGGGCAAAGGCGATAGACTCTCAATGAATTCATTTTAGTGTTCAGAAGGCAAAAAAAACAGGGGTGGAATGATGCACCGGGATACAGGGAAATAGGAATAACTGGAGAGTATCTGATAGGGCAGGGGTGGGCAATTAATTTTCCTATGGGGCCACATGAGAAACTTTGACAGTTGTTAAGGGCCGGACCAATACACTTACAGCTCTGCTCAGTATATCTCTATAAAAACAGTAAATGAAACAATACAATGATCCAATGAAAATGTGGAGCACAGAACAACACTATTTAATGAATATTCACAAAAGCATTAACAACATTAACATTACATGAAAAGCAATAAATTCAATTCAATTTAGCAGATCCTTCCAAATAAAAGCAGTGCAGTTGTATTGCTTGCGTCTATATTACGACGATATATATTTGCATTGACTTTTAATTTGCCAGGGACCTCATGAGGGCCAGTCGGGGTCAGCCATCGGGCCGGATGTGGCCCGCGGGCTGTACAATGCCCAGGTCTGTGATAGGGTGTATCCAACGCTGCAGATCTCAAGAGGAATAGAAAGTGGAAAGGGGCTTGTAGGGAAAGGCACGGGGCATTTTCCACTTCAGCTGCCCAGGAATTTAACATGCTTACAGTGTATATGTCTCCAGGTGGCTCAAAAATGATTTGAAAAAAATGTTCTGGGAAGCTGCTTTTAGGTGCGTCTGTGCGGGACCGTCTGACAACAGCTCAAGAACATCTCAGCCTTTAACCTGAGCAAGCCGGGTAATGGCAAGTGCATTTTTTTCCTAAAACCAGTCACATCAAGCATGGGAAGACGCATTCGTTCTGCTAAATAGAGGAAGTTTCCTGCAGTGACCACTTCAACTTGCTTTTCTTTTCACTAGGAGAAACACAGTCTAAAGGATTTCAGCAACAGATCTTTTTGCAATCCTAGGGTTGCATCCCGTGTTATCCCACTTAGAATAGACCCATGGAAATGAATGGGACTTGGGTACCGGGGACTCAACCATTCAACAGGATGCCAGCGTTAAGGATTCGCAAGTAACTCGCCCGCTTATCAACTGACTGCTCGACACATATGCTTCCATCACCAAGGAATATTAAAATTAACGATCCATAATCAGAAGGGGCCCATGACCACAAGGACTCACTTTCCGACCCAGCAACTCCTGTTTGTAGAGGGAGGACCCAATCTTGGCATCTCTGGTGGGGCTGGGAAGGAACATGGTGGGGATCCCTGGAGAGCAGCTGGACGATCCCAGGCCAGAGGGACAGGGTGCAAGGTAGCATCCTTCTGTGCACAGTAAAGCAGCTTGCGGTGCATGGTGCTCTGCCGATCAGTAATTCTATCACCCCCGCGAGGCAGCCAAATAAAATGTGGTTCCACGGCAGGAAGGTTCACGAGCGCTGCCGTCGCTCCTTGCCGTCTGCGGGCGCTCGATGCAGCCATTTCCACCCGAGTGACGCGAGAGGCCAGCCACTCGCAGAGAGGCCTCGGACAAAGGGCTCGATGTTTAGCGTACAGGTTCAGCAACGGGACCCATGTTTGCTTAACACTGCCTGCATTTAATAAAAGGCAGAGCAGGACTCCAGGAATCGTGCTGTAAGCCAGACGGCAGCCCCGCCTGCAACGGCTGCATGGACTGAACTCTTGTTTGTGTCCCTGGCTCGTACAAATCCAGCCAGTGGGCAAATCAGAGTGTTTCCCAAACTGAACAGTGCAATGGATTCTGTGCATGGTGTTGGTGTACGGACAGATCAGCCCGGGCCTTCCCTGGTCCCAGTTCTGTACCTCCACTCAAGGAGCGCTGGTGCAGGGTCCAGTGAACAGTCTGGAAGCGTGAAGTCCCGGCTCTTAAATACGAAGAGGCAATGGAGTAGGAGCCCCGGTTCTTTGAACCCAATGCTTTCTTCTCCAACAGAAGCCCAACGCTTTCCCTCGGCCCCTCTTTCTCTGCTGGTGGGCTTCTGCATCCTACAAATCCACAGCCGCAGCCTCTTTTCTCCCCTGCCGTTAACCCAGCTGTCTGCACAGCTTAGCAAACAGGTGAGGGACTTATGGAGTCTTCATACACAGACATGCACCCGCGCGCACCCAAGGGTGCTCTGGCAAGGAAAGCATTCCCTTTTTCTTTCAAACACGTGCCTCTGGATCCATACTGGGGAGCATGGGTTGCCGTGGCTGCCGTGCAGGGGATGAAAGGCCAAGTTCAGGGCAGCCAACCTGGCCAACTCTGGACCACACAGAACCTTTCGCCATCGGGGAAGCCAAGAATTAACAAGGCTGGTAGAAGTCAAAGGAACGTGACAGCGCCTGACGTGATTAAATCCCAAGGATTTCAGTGGATTTGGCCTCCCCCTGGATTGCGCCCAACACTAACAGCAGTTAAATCAGGCACTCCACTCATCTTCCTAATGCGCATTTCAGAAAGATCATTGAAACATGTCCAAGAAGCCTTTCTCCTCTTTTAATGGACGGGAAGACATCCTGATGCAACGCTAAATTCAGGATATAGGATGGCACAAGTGGTGTGTGAGACACACCCATTTCCTCCTGGGGAAGGTAACCGACATCCGCCGATGCGGCAGGGAACATATGCAAAAGGAAATGGAAGCCGAGGGCCACTTTTGGCTTTCTGCTGGCCTACTTTCCTTCTCACCACAATTTGTATTCTTGTCGGCAGTTCTCAGCTTTTGCTGAATGTGCCGTCTTTTGGCAGCCGGAAGCAGGGCGCTCGGGACTCAGGCAAACTGCTAATATTTTATTTGCCACCCAGCAGCCAAAACCGACATTATCTTAATTACTGCAATAAAATAAAATACAAAGCAGCCCTACAATCCTTTGCATCCTTTCGGCCTGACCTTCCTGTTCCTTTTTTCCTACACACACAAATCCAAACACATCCAACCGATACAGAGCCAGACAATTCTGCCTTCCGATTAACGGGCTACTGAGTTATACCGCTTTCCTTTCTTTTGAAAGTACGACACAGCAGGGAATGATGGCGCTCACTCGTAACATGTGTAGGTGGACATGCAGAAATATTGTCTGTGGATATTTTGGCAGTGCAGGGTTGGCTGGGAGACTGTATTCTGCCCCTTGGAGCGTTTCCACTGAAGCCTCCATTACCATTTGCCTGTTTCACAGTTAAGTCTTGAAGTGGACCTTGCTAACATTCTTGGAAGGCTTCCCGGGAACTTCAGTGATCTTTGGACTAGACCCAAGACGCGTTGCAGCCGGGAGTACTTGCGTCTGTTATACAGTTTAGCATCTTCAACCAGAGTTCATAAGGAGCTGCTATCTTTGGACTATGCATGTCCGCTTGGTTTTTAAACATAGGTCTCAATTCAAGTGTAGTATGACAAGGCGCTCCATGCTGGAAAATATATGGGTGGAAGCTACTGGCAAATCACACAAAGATTAATTGCTCCCCCCACAGCCTTCCATAAAGAAGAAGAAAGCTTTCTGTTTCCTCTCAGATGCTCGAAGTGAAAAAAGGGGGTTCTGTAGGTATTTGAAAAGACAGCGGAGGCTTGGTTCTTATGTTACAGTTTCAGCAAGCAAGTCCACACTTGTGTAATTCCGTTTTCTCTCTCTCTCTCACACACACACATTTCCTTCAATGAAATTAAAGGAGTGTGCTTGGCTTCTCCATTTTATCTTTGTGAGTGTGTGTGTGACTGGTGAGCTTCGGTGAGCTCCTGTAAGTTTTGGTTGGAACCCACACCTCCCTGGCACCACCTCCCCGACTGGGAGTGGGCTACTGAGATTGTGAAGTGAGCGGGTGGTGTATCAAGCCACGTGGACCAAATCATTGGTCAAACACAGAATATACGGAGGGGCAAAATGGGTCACAGGCCCGAAAACTGTGTAACGAGCTCACAGGAGGATCAACATCGGATTGTTTATAGATGACGAGTGACTCTGTCCGGAATGAATATCATCTTTCAATCAGGCTCATTTAAGTCCGTGGCATTTAAACCTTTGCTTGGAATTGCCACTTGGTGCAAGAGCATTTGCTGCCAATGTGGGGAACACTCGGCCAAATAGTCGGGCTTAGTCATAATTCGGGCCCTTCCGCAGTACAACTGGATATGCAGAAGGACAGAATCCAATCCTTCCTAAAAATGCTTGTGATGAACTTTTTCAATGTGGTAAATCTGGGGTGAGCCAGACATTGGGGGACTCCAACAATATCAAGGAGTTTCATTGTCGGTGATGAAAAGTTACAATTACAACCACCACAAACAAGTATAAGAACATGTGAGGAGCCAATCTTCACCTACATCTTCCAGGTGTATCAGGACAAAGGCCTTTTAACCGAGCCCATTATGTAAAAACTGACCTGCCAGGCTGGCTTTGAGATGCAAACGAAGAGTGGTGCAGAAGTGAAAAACAAAAGACACCTTTGGCCATTAGAGAAATGCGGCTCAATGCTATGAGGGTGATTCCACACTGAAGCCCCCTCCTCCTCCTTTCCAGGCAGATCCTGCTGATTTTGGGCCTGTTGCCCCTGCTCAGATGATCTGCCTTCTCAACCTCACGTCATATAATTGGGCAAATGCCCCATTGGTGCTCCAGAATCCCTTGTGAACTAGAAACGTCTGGCTCTCAGCGAAGGTCTGGTTTATCTCTAGGTCCGCTGGCCTGGACATTTCAGCTGCGCATTCCACCCCTGCCTCTTCTTCCATTTCTGAATCAGAAGGCAAGTCAACAACCTTTGAAAGCTGCATTATGGAAGGATTGAAAGCTGCATTATGGAAGGACTGGGCTCAGTCCCTAAAGGCACCTCATCACCTACAGGTTTCTCATCCTAGATGTTGGTCTTACTAACTCTGAAACAGACTTTTCCATATACTGTTCAAAAATTCATACACTGAATGACCGTTCAGAAAGTCGCAACGAAATAAAATAATCCAAACTGGAATGAAATTTATCACATAGAACATGATCATTTCCTGATTTAAACTAAAAAAGGTCTGGTATCTTTTAAGAAATTCCGCACACTAACTACTGTCCATTTTTTTCACCCAGAATTTTCTTTAAATCACCTGAAACTACACGCCCCAGGTTTTCAAAGCTGACCATCTTATTACAGAAAGCCTTAGAAAAGCAAACTTTTCTAAGCACAGGACTTTGATTGTCTAACTCTCACCTCAACATTTATTATTAACTAATAGCAAAAAAAGCACCTTGAACGACAAAATCAATTCTATAGTTAAATCAATTTTAAGACCATGCCAATAAAAGAGAAAAGCAGTCATATTTCATTATAAACACAGGCACTTCATCCAGCTATGAATTCCTTCACTCCAACAGCAAAACTTTTATGATACTAAAAGACTGCTGGAATTTATGTTGCTAGATAACATAAGGAATGTCCTTTGCTGTTTCTAATACTACAATCATCATTTTTAAAGCTTGTCATGGGAATATGATTCATACACCTTCATCTGATTGTCTTGAATCTAACTTGCTACTGGGCTTTCCTCATTAGTATCTCCTCGTCATAGAATATAATTTTTATAGGACACCTGCTTACTCAGTTTTATTCATTTTTAATCCAGTCCTGGTAGTCTAGCAATGCAAAGTTATGTATGTCTGTTCTAGCGCAAGCTTCACAGAGTTAAGTGTGTACCGAATTACAGCCTAAATTCCATGCATGCTAAATTGGGGACAGCTGAACTACTTTCTGGGTTGAGTTACTCTTGTGTTACTAAGCTAATGTTTAGAAAGCATACTTAGAGAAATGAATACCAGCTTGTGAATAGATAAGATTTTCCTGGAACCAAAAATAGGTTTGGTCCCAGAAATCTAACATCCAGGGGTTGCAGAATTAGCTGATTGCCAGAATTTTTGGTCCTAAAATTAGGTAATTTCCAAATGACAAGGCCTGGAGACTGGAAGGCTTCCTCGAGTCAGGATTTAAAGGGGGCAGTCTTTGGTATCACCTTCAAAGCTCTCATTTTGCAGATATTCCTTCTCTAGTGAGTCTGTCTGACACCATCACACACGATCGGCGGTGTTTTCCCTTTCCCCTATCATTCAGCACTGCACAGAAGCAACACCACCCCACTGCTCTCGCACAACAATTTAGCTTTCTTTCTGCGAGAGAGCCTTCTCCCTTGCCAACCTGCCCAGTTGCTGAGGTCACCGGAGGGCACGCACGGGGGGGGGGGGGGTCCACATGGACCTATGTCCCAGTTGGTGTCCACCAGGACCCAAGACTTCAGGGTGGTAGGAGCTTTTCTCTGGCGCTTCCTGACCCTGAGCCGACATTTCACTGTGCTTTGCTTTTTACATTTGCATTGTTAAACCATCCCGAGACTTCAGTAATGGGATGGTCTAGAAAAGTTTTACATAAATAAAATAAATGAATGAATAGATTTACGGTCGAAAAGGTGTTTTTGTGTCCAGAAATGGAGCCCTACCTACACCGTGTATGTAAGTTCCTGGGTGAGTTAACATCTTTTAAGCTCACTAGCTGGGCTTCTGGGAAAGGACCGTTCTGTGAATGGTCATGCCCACCATGGCAGGTTTACTGAATGGGCCCAGTGGCCCCACAGCACCCACAACTTGCTCTCCAAATTCCAAAGAAGCCCACGGACCCAAAAAGGTGAGGGACCCGCCTGGTAGCAGCTCAGGAAGTCCACTTACCTGCCGTTGGCGGCAAAACACATCTGGCACATTCCCTGCAAGGAGGCTGCGGCGTTCTGCAGGAAGGCGGCTATTTTGGGGTTCTCATCAATGGGGCCTTGGACGGAAAGGAAGCAGCAAGCCAACTTTTCAATCAATCCGATGTTGACCATGTAGCTAGGAAAGGAAACAGGAGAGGGGAAAAAGCATGAACCCACTGAGTGCACACTGGCCCAGCCGGCAACTCATCTGCTGTCGTTCACAGATCCCAGCGTCCAGAAAGGGCATGATCCAAAGGGGTTGCGGGCATCCAATGGAGGAGGGAAGAGAGAGAAAGCACGGATCCTCGTGGGACTTATCCTGCCTTCCATGGCTGATTCTGGCCTCATATGGGTTGGTCACTGGCTTGTGCCGAGGGACCAGAGAACCCTCGATGTCCCTCAGAGGATGGAGGTGCCCCTCCGCCCAACGGCTGCTCAGAGGCTGGTCTTGTGAGTCCAGAGCTGCAGGCAGTGTGGAAGAACCATCTCCGCTGTGAGGGAGCGGGCAGGAAGCTCTGGCCCAAGCTCCAGCATCGGAGCGCTTCTCCGAGGGGTGCGGGATCCACCAGTGGCCACCTAAGCAACTGCCAGAGGCCACAGAACTACCCCTTGAATATTAGCAACTCAGGGTACCATCCTAGGCACGTCTAGACACAGAAAAGGTCAACTACTCCCAACATGCCCTAGCTAGTCAAAAAATTGACTATTACCATGGTGTTGTTGGGCATTTATTTTTAATAAATAAGACCTGAATGTAATTTCTACAGTATATTTGAGAATTACTGGGGGGTAGTGGTGAAGAGCACGGGACTGGGACTCCGGTGATCCAGGTTCGAGTCCCCGCTCAGCCATGGCGCCAACTGGGTGATCTGGGGCCAGACACAGCCTCTCAGCCCAGCCTACCTCACAGGGTTGTTGTTGTGGGGATAAGGTGGAGGAGGAGAACGATATAAGTTGCTTTGAATTCTTCTTCTTTTTTAAAGAAATGGGCAGGATAGAAATCGAATGAATAAATAAATACATGTTTCGTGAGGAATGTATGCTTTTGTTTCATGCTGGAATAAAAGAGCTTGGCCTTGGTCAGCAATTCATAACCACCTTTATATTCCTGCCATGGTTTAGTGCAAGGAAAACCAAGTCGTGCACATGAGGAGGACGGAACGACCCACACGCAATCTGATTACAGAATAATCCTCCCAAAGCCGAATGTGCCCACGCTCCGTCTTCTGGAGCCAACAACAAGTGAGAAACTCCTTTGTTGCTCAAAGGTATTTGCTTTTAGTACAGTCGCAGGCAGAGCTCTCAAGGGAGCACCTGAGCCGCTCCCCTGCCAGGTGCAACAGCCACTTTTACCAAAACTGCTTTTCTGAACGGCGTGTGCTCCTGTGCTCCCCCCACCCCCCGCAGACTTGTACCAATTTCTTTCTCCTGTCAGGAAGCACCGTCCCTTCTCCGGACTGATCAAACTACCGTTTCTGCGAATCATTCCCTTGCGATGTCCTAGCAGGCAGGATCGCTAACGTTGGGTAGTTGAGACCTTTCTTCAGAGGAGGCGCCTCTTTTCAAATCAGCTTGCAATACAGAAATAGCGGACCTTGCGATGCGGATGCCCATAAACTTCTCAGACACGCCACCCAGAGCCTGAGGGCTGTTGTAGGAATCTGGGCGGCTCGTTCCTCGCAGCAGCTGGCCATCCTGGCCAGATATGCACAGGGAAATGAGCAGTGTTCCCAAAGGGGACGTACGCACGTCTCCGTTGTGGCTGCGTGGCCCGGCCACCTTCCCTCAGCCGAGGCGACTGTTGCGAGGGCGAGCTGAGCGGGGTTGGGTGAGCGGGTTCCTCGGAGGAGGAGCAGAACCGGATGTTAGCAAGAATAGCAGAAAGCTCGGAGTGAGCGACTCTCTGATTTGTTTCCCCTCTTCACAGAACTGAGGGACTGAACCAAAGACACGCAGCACACGACGGTCCTCCTCTGCATTTCGTCCTCACAACGATCCTCTCGGGTGGGTTTGGCAGAGAGGCGGCAACTAGCGCAAAGTCATCCAGTAGCTACATGGCCGTGTGGGGACAAGATCTCCTGAGCCGGACTCTAGCGATTACGACGCACAGTCTTGCTGCCAAGGTCTCTGCTCTTGACAGCCAGGTCTGTGCATGGGGGGAGGGGGGAGAGTCATGCTAAGGGCATGAATTTCCCCCACACCTGCAATGCACACGCAGGGGAGCAATTAAGAGGAGAAAGGCCGCTGGGAATACTATGGACCGCATGCCTGAGATGCCTTCCAGTTGTCCCATTCCCGTGTCATCCCGCCTTTCATTCTTCTGGTGGAATCAGATCCTTTAAACGGCTCAGGTGAAAGGGGCTAGTCTGATCTGGGGCCAGACACAGCCGCCCAGCCAGGTGAGGGGTGTGTGTGGGCCATTCATGGGCTTGGACTAGTCAGTTTCAGGTGTCGTCAAGGTAAAGGTATCAATAAGCAGACCTCCCAATTGGAGAATGCAGTGGCCTGAAATTTCACACTCTTTGGAAAAACCTGTTTGGAAATGGAGTGTAGATACGCAGAGACTGTGAAAGGTCACTAGGAGTATCCGCAGTGGTCACTTTTGCTCTTCCGTTTAAGTTGGTCTTTTGCTCCATCAGATGGCAACATTATTCAAATGCACGTATTTTAAACTGAATGCAGCTTATTACGGCTAACAGCAGCTTTAAAAACACACACAGACACATGCCATATTTTTCTGTTTCCCACCAATGGGAAAATACCCCGATCATTTCAATGCACGGAGAATCTCCGTGCGCAAAATGGGAACTGGGAGGGCCAAGCCTTTCCCAAGGCTGAGATTGCAGGGTGGGGCCCCTCGCTTGTGTCCCGTGGCATAATCCATTGGAGCCCCCGGAATTTCCCAGAGGGTAGTCAGCATGCATGGCAGGGATAGTCAGGCGTGGAATTTGGAGGTAGCACCCCGTGGAATACTCTGAGGTTTAAGGGTGCTTCAGATAGTTTCAGGGGCGTCTCTACGGGCACCGGCTGTTTACATGTGTGCATGTAAATGCTTTTTATAATGCATTTTGAAGGACTGAGCTTTCTAAACTACCTGGAGAGCTTGGTCTATTGGGTGGCATAGACATGTGATAAATGAAATGGCCCAGCTTCCAAATGAGGCTGCAGCCACTGGGAAATTTTCCTCCAGGGATTCATCTATTTACATAAAACTTAAGCGCACCTATACATGTTTCCAATGGAGCTGTTAGATGCTCCGGGGGTGGGGGTGGGGTCACTGGATGAAATATTTGGGGAATCCTCACCCCGCTCCCCAGGTGCTGCTGCCTCAATCTAAATTGGGTTTCCCAGCATCTTCATTTTTGAAAAACGTACGGATCAAATCATGTACCTTCACTGCCTCATCTACTCCGGCCTGCAACTAGGTGCATCCTTTAATTAAGGAGCTTCCTCTGCACAGACGGTCACCAAACTGCAAGCCAGAGGATCTTTCAAACAATCTCCTGTTTTAGGCTGGTTTTCAGAGTACCAGGGATATATCTTACAGCAGTAAAAAGCAGCTGTGTGATGGTTCAAGGGTATATCAATGAGAGCAATTTCTATTTGGTTCTGTTTTGCATCTATTACCCACAGTCTGAGCCTTACGGATGCTATGTCAGAGCCCAAAATAGCTGAATTACCATAATGCTCCTGGGGTGACTAAGTGACTCGGTGTTACTGGCCAATATTCTGGGTCCCGTGCACCCAGAACCAAGCCCCGGTCCCATTCTGAAAAACACACATTCAGTAAACACGGCATTAAGATGTCAGTAAGGTAAGCTAATTCTTCCCAGATGTTTTGTGTAATCAGCTTTACTCAGTATGAACCCATCACTGAATCTAATTTAATAATCTGTAAAAAGAGGAATACTGTGTACAATGCAAATCCTCATATCTAAGTTGGCTTATAAAACTGAATGCCTGTCAGTGCCCTGATCCTAAATGAAGAAAGCCACCCTCATCATTTTAATGGCGCAATTTACAATCCAATTTTGCAGTTTAGCGTTTTCTGTTTTAATGTATGGCTAGAAATTCAAGCTCTTAAAATAGCAAAGTGTTAGAAATTTAACAAATAATGTCAAGCGAGGAATAATGAGTATGGGAAAACTTCAAATAAATGTTTCTTTAAAATGTGCAAAAAGGTGGCCTTCTATGAGAGTTTATGATTCTGGCTTTCTTGGGCTAATGTTCAATTTTATTTCTATGAAATGAAGGTCTCCATAGCCCTGCAAGCTCCTGGCTCAGGTCACGCAAGACACCAAACCATGGACTTGAACTACTCCTGCTTCAGAACTCAAAGCATCGTCTGCGCTTCCAAACGATTCAGGCCAACTGTGGGTTACAAAGTTTAGCATCTCCGTCTCTAGTAGTGCAGGAAAGGCTCCAACCAAGAAACGCCACATCAGACATTATGCCAAACCGTAACCAACATAGTTGGCCAACCCATTTCAAGTCACGACTTCTGGTTCTGATTTGCTAAAGCACACAAAAACAAGCTAGTTAATTCAGATTCCCCATTGACCTATAGGAAACCATACCTGAATGTGTTGTCTATGGTTGGGCTTTCCCAAAAGCGACACAGATTTTTTAAAATGGTGTTATCATGGAAGTTTCTTAAGCAAAAGCAGTTACTATCCTGGGCAATATATGCTGGAAGAGCAGTATCAAGATAACAAAATGTATTTGCATTAATGCAGAAAATGGTGAGAAAAGAGGCAAAAGTGTTAATTCAAATGGAAATGGCAAGGCATGCAAGAAAAGAGGGATAAAAGCGCAGAGATGTAAAGAGCTGAGCATCCAAGTGCGATTCCTCCCCTCTAGAAATTAATGAATTAGGTACGGAATTTCAAGTATACTTAAGTGCAAGAGGTCAGTGCCAAAGGAAGGCCAGGGTCAGTGCAGGGGGCAAAGCGGATTTGAAGAGATGGCAAAAAGTAATTTATTAAGAGAAGAGGGAGATCTCCTTGCAAAATTAAATGTATCTTTTATCCTGTCCTCCAGAAAGAGGATGGGAGACAGATGATGGAAAGGAAGGATGGAAGGAAGGAACATCTAGAGAGAGAAAACATCACACGAGAAGAAACAGAGAAAACAAGGTGGAGATGTTAACTTCCAACCTTCCCCTAAGATGGCATTACATCACTCTTGTTGCATTGAAGCAAAACACGAGTGTTTGAAAACTGCAAATTAATTATGTAACATCTATATAAGTAAAAATGCGACACACACACACACACACACACACACACACACACACACACCTACAGTTATAAGGTAAATGCCCTTACATTTGGGCTGCACGGCTTCTAACTTTCGTGCGACCTCTCAACATCCTGGATGTTCTTTGGCAAGCTGGTTCTGTTCCACGGAGCTTCGGCCCTTGGCCCTTCAGCTTCTGATCTTAGTTATTACCAAGGCCGAAGTGCTCATCTCTTGCTGGGAGGAGGAGAAGCTTGTTGCGAAGGCCATATGAAGAGGGGTATTTGCATAGCGATGTGTCAGAGGCTAACCTCATCAAACCAGGCCCATCACACTAGAGGGGACCCATTAGCTTAAATAAGGAAATCGCTGGATATTAAAAGATGAGTGACTGTAGGTGATAACAAGTTGGCACGGAAAGAAGGGAGGCGGCTGTGTGCAACACATTCTTATTAGAACTGCATCCACTTGATTCGATGACTTTGAAGCAAGAACATGTACTGTAGGGCAAAACAACTTCACAAGATGAAGAGGTCACAAGCAATGTGAATGCTTATGAGGGCTTTAAATTCTGGAAGAAACTTGAGTGTCCTTTCCTTACTTCCGCATGTTTTTCAACGTATGCTTTGGACTCCACAGAACAAACAGGGGAAGGGGCTCGGCCTCCCTCCAGATTTATTTGAAAGAAGAATTTTATGTACAGCCATCTTTCAGTTAGGGACTTCTAGCCCAAGCAGTGATGTCAAGAAATCTAATTCAGAAGGACTGTCCATATCTGCATTTTCTCTATGCTCCTCAGCATAGGAAAAAACGAGATTTCAAGGGGAGTAGATGTAGAAACACAGAAACAGAGAGAGTCAGAAGGGGACTCCTGGGCCATCTAGTCTGACCCCTGGCTCCAGCCGGCTCTACTCATGACATGCCTACCATGTGTCCAGCCTGTCTTTGAACACCCTCACCGATGGGGCTTCCACCACCTCCCATGGAAGCCCATGTAACAGTTTGTATGCAGAAAGTCCTAGATTCAGTCTCTGGCATCTTCAGTTGAAAGGATCTGAGGCAGTGGATGCTGGGAGAAACTTAACCCAAGGAATCGGCCAACCACTACTAAGTGCAGTACATCGTAGTTAGAAAGATAGATCAACTACCTGGCAGCACAAGAAGGCTTAATATTTAGCTATTTAACACATTCATAAAGCTTCTTTTTGCCAATGCACATAAGGAAGTTCAGAGCTGGTGATGGGACGGTATTTAGTAAACATAAACCAAGGGAGAAAATGCCACCACGGTCCTCACAAGAGGCAGTTCGGGGAGGAGGAAGTCAATGGCGGCTGGTCCTAGTTGGCCCGTGAAGTGGCCTTTTTGCTTGTGTTCCAACCTCCGGAACAGTCAAGTAGGACGAGATGCTGAGAGAAACAGTTTTGGGACAGGAGGAAGCAGCATCTATTGGCCCCAGCTTGGACAGTGGAGAAGGCCTTGACGTCTTATCACTCCCTTGGGAGCCAGCAGATCTCACAGTCCCAGCTGGACTGCTGGACGGACCTTCCTGCCTCACCTTCCCCTCTGAAGAAGATTTAGAAAAACTACCCCATTTCTTACCTGATGAGGTCTTGCATCCTACTGTTGAAGACTTCAACCTGGGACGTCTTGTTCTTTGCTTCTTGCACTAATTTTGGTGTGTATATGTGGTTGTTTCCAAGAGGTAGGCTGGAGATCAGACACCCAAACACTGTAGCCAGGATTCTCAGAAGTCCAGTTGTTAGACCTTCAAACACTTGCTTGTTTGAAGTTCTTCCTAAGGTGGTATTATGGTCGTCTGGAACATAAACCTACACACACACAGACACCAGAATAAATGCACTGCAACATTGCAAAACCAGCATCCAACATTCCCTAGTTATTTTGTTAATTTGGTGTTACAGCTAAATTGGAAGCAGTTGCTAAGGACAAGAATGGGGCACTTCATCTTTATTTAATATTTGTACATTCATTTCATAATTGAAGATATACCCTTTCTTTTTTATATTGGAAAGAATCCAAGGAGGCTTCACTGGTTTTTCTCTTCTCCTCACAACAACCCTGTGAAGTAAGTTAGCCTGACAGTCAGTGGCAGGCCCAAACTCAGCCAGGAAACTTCGAGGTGGAGTGGGGATTAGAACGTGGGCCTCCCAAGTCCTAGTCTAACTGTTATTTGTTCTCTGCTTCTGGCAGTCAAAAGGTTTTGGATTGACCTCAAGGACTGATCATCCTGTCTCCACGAACTTTTTCTCCCGTACCTCAGTTGACCTGAGAGAGACGACTAGTGCAAGTGGGAGAGCAGGGCAGGATTCCCACTTCTGGCCTAGCTTCTGAGAATCGGAAGTAACCTACATGCTTTCTGGGGCTCACGGGATTGCTCCGTAAGAGTTGTAGGGCACACGCTTATGTATATTTTTAATGCATGTAGATGCATTCCTTCCTCATATTCTTTTGGATTCTGTGTGTTTGGGGAGAGGACAGGATAGATAGAGTGGCTGGTGGGGACAGCATTTGTCCTTAATCTGGATCCCACACACGGTTTTGTTTTCCATGTGGAGCTGTCCAGCCAGAAGCAGCTGCTGAAAATTTTGAGTTACTAGAAACCCAGTTCAGTTCTAGGACACAACGGGGGTAACACTGATTCCTCTGGAAACTTGAAGCTAACATCCCTTCAGCTCCACAGAAGAATATCTGTGGCTGCACACAGAACAGACAGACACACATCACCATCCAGTTTTGGAAGCATCTGGATGACCACTGCAGGAAGCAGAATCCTGTTCCTCCGTTTGTGCGGAACATCAAACCTATGAAGGTATCGAATATCTTTCAAACTTTGCCTCTGGTCCCTGTGGTCCCACCCAGCTCTGGGACTTGACCCCTGAAAGGTTCAGGAAGAGGCTGTGCTGTATGAGATGGACCACTGGTCCTGTCTTCTCATGCTGATCTGCTTCATGCAGTCTCTCAACGGCCTTTAGACTTTAAAGCCTGCATTATTAAGAATGAGGAGATGAGCTTTGGAGGAAGCTGGCTTTCAACACTGTCTGGAGCTGGGTGTCCTTCTTAAGGGGAAGGAAGACAAGTTCTCAGGGGAGCTTTGGAAGGACTTTCAAATGCCTCGTTTCTCGATTATCGTAAAAACCCAACTTCCAATCGATTTCGCTGGAAAAGTCTTTACACTTGATCGTATGACGAACGGGATGGTAAAATGCAGTTGCCCCGCAGTAGCGTACCGTAGCCCTCTCAGTGGGAATAGGGTAACACTTGGCGACAAAGAACAACATGCAGATTTTTTCCATTATTCATTAGCTCTGAGCCTTGACTTGGTACTTAAAATTCATTGTAATCGTCTGTTCCTGGTATTGAGCCAGCTAGGAAGTGACTTATTCAAGTTCAGCTGAAGAAAGAATATGATGTTGGTACAGTAATTTACACAGACTGGAGTTAATTCATGCCTAATGATTTTGACCAGCTACCAAAGTAGATGGATTGTATTTAAAACATGTGCACCTCTTTAATTAGCAAGCCAGATGCTACAATTTGGAAGGCATTAGCAGTATAAGCATTGCCCATGCAACCTACGTATCCAACCTCTACCTCCCTTTTCCCCTCTTAAAGGTTTTGCAGGGAGTCCCACCATCAATCTGCCAGCAGGGCTTTTTAAAAAGATGAGTAGCCATACCGGGGGAGGGGGCTGTGAGGCTGAACCACGACATTTTCTCCCCTCGAGCAGAAAAGCAGAGAAGTCTTTCTGACTGCACTCGCACACACGTGTGTGCATGCAAGTCTTGCAGGGGTGCTTGGAAGGAAAGGGAAGGAGGTGGGAGTGGGCTTGGAGTAGCCAGCGTCCCGCCCCCTCCCGTCTCCTCCCCTGCCCACCCACCCGAACACTCCCTTTCTCCTTCTCTGAGGTCGCTTTTCTGACCTCGTGGTGCAGCCCGTGTGGGTTTTCCTTGCTGGCCTGCGAGGATGTGGGGAAGAGAGTCAGATCTTCGACTCCCCGTTCCAAGGTTGGCACACGGTCTCCGATCTTGGGAGGAGGAATCCGGACATGCCGCCAAGGACCACAGGATCACTCTCTCACTTGCTCCGCTGAATACGAAGGGCCTGCTCCGAGCACGACAAAGCTTGCATCCAGCCTGGACATCGTACCTCTGCCTGCGTGCTGAACCACTCCATGGGTCTGCGAGTCTGCCAGGGACAGCCTCTGCCGCAACAGAGGCAGACTCAGCCCTCCATTCCTTCTCAGAAGAGCTGCCCAGTAAAGCTTCAGAGTAAACTTTCGAGGCTGCATTTCGAGACTGCAGGCCTGGTTCCTCCTCAGCTCTCCGCCCTGTCCCCCAGCCAGGCAGTTTGTACAAACAAGGCAAAGCAGAGGCACGAAGGCCACCCTCCCTGCGCAAGAGCCAACTAGTCCGGCCGTTTCCGGCATACTGACAGTGCCTTCTGCCACACCTGCAGGCAGGAGGTGTGCTTAGGAAGACAGAAGAGGCGGCTCAGCCCACGGCTCTCCTGCCCGGCCCTTCGGTGCAGCTGCTTCCCCGCACCGATGCAGCGCTTCCCCTCCAGAGCCTCCGGACATTAACCCGTGTCTCCCCCAGGGACAGCCAACATGCCCGCCTGTCTCCGGGCTGATCACATGTGTGAGTCCAACCCACTTTTCTGACTGGCGGGAAGATTTCGTCTGCCGGTCTCTCGGCTCCCTTCCCACCTGTGAGACTGCTAAGCAGCGAGGCGAGCTGGCAAGCTGCGGGGGTGATCGGGCCGAGACCTGTCACCCAGGCTCTTGCGCAGCCACTTAAGCGAGCATTGATGGCTGGTGGGCGCCCGTTTATGGACGCACAATGCCTGCTCAGGAGCATGGGCCATGTTAGCACAGGCTGGAGGGTGCAGCCCTGTGGAGGTGACACGCCTTGTTCTAGTGAATCAACCCTGTTTAATGGCCAGGGCTGTGCAGGTACATGCTGGGTCCCCAGCGCTCAGCTTTTAGACTGGCAAGCAACCAAGATGACACCAAAACGCCGGAAGTCTTCAATCCGTGCACCTCACTGTCCCGCAGGAGAGGCCGTTCTTTGAACGCCCTTTCATCTGGGGAGATGCTAGGCAGTCCTTGCCAGAGTCTGGGCTTCATAAAACAGAGCGATGCATCGCTCCGGCAGCAGCATGAGCCAACCTGCTGAGAGGAAGCGCTTGTGAGAAGCTCCTGAATGCCCCCACCTGGCACTGCTCTGACCTCAGCCGCTGGTTTCATGACTTTAGCCAAAACACAGAGTCGCCGTGATGATGGCCTTCCTTGCATTCATCTCTAAAAGGCACTGTGGCAGAGTCACTCTGTTTTCAGTACACCCTCCAACATCAGCCGCCAAAAGGGCAAATGCTGTTTTGGGATGCATTAACAGAAGTGTTACTTCCAAATCATGAGAAGTGGTAGTTCCTCTATACTCCTCACTAGTCAGACCTCACCTGGAATACTGTGCCCAGTTCTGAGCACCAAGATTTAAGAAGGATGCAGGAAAATTAGAAAGGGTCCAGCGGAGGGCAACAAAAATGATGCAGGGTTTGCAAACACTGCCCTGTGAGGAGAGACTGAGAGGACTGGCCATGTTCAGCCTTGAGAAGACTGAGGGGGGACATGAGATCCCTCTGGAAGTACCCCAAAGGCTGTCACAGAAAGGAAGGTCAAGATCTCTTCTTGCTGGTGCCAGAGTGCAGGACACGGAATCATCAGTTCAAGTTGCAACAACCCAGGTTCAGGCTGGACATCAGGAGAAGTTTCCTCACTGTCAGAGCAATACGATGGTAGAACCAGCTGCCTGGAGAGGTGGGGGGCTCTCCCACACTGGGGAGATTCAGAAAGAAACTGGGCAGCCTCCGAGTGGGATGGTGTGACTCGGTGTCCTGCAACAGCAGGGGGTTGGATCCGATGGCCTTCTTGGCCCCTTCCAACTCCACTATTCTATGATTCTATGATCATGCAGACAGCAATCCTAGTACATCACAGCCTGTGATGACAGCTCACGCAGGTCAGGGGCGATCCAGTGCATATTCAATGAGAATTAAACCCCAAGGAATCCACGGGCTCTTACTTCTGAGTAGATATACACAGGATTGTGCTGCCAGTGTGACTTAGGACTGGGAAAATATGCCTGAGATTGAAACCCTGGCAAACTGACAGTGTCAACAATACCAGACGAGGCAGACGAAGAGGTGAACTCTGAGTAGGGAAAGCTTCCTCTGTTTCTAACGTTTAAAAATCCGACAAACAATGGAAGGAAAGCTATCCTGTGCTCAGCTTTTAGCCGGCAACATCTGAGACGCACACCCCTGTGCACACTGTCTCTCCCTTAAGCCTCGCATGTGCAATTTATGGCAGACTGAAGGGCAGCGCAGAAATGTTACAAAGGCTGGGTCACCAAAAAAACCCCCATCCTAGTTTACCTTAAGCATCTCCTGCTGCCGCCAGAAGATAATATTTTGTGACTACTTTTCCTCTTAAAAGCAGAACCTGTGTCTCGGAAGCATGCCCTCGGGACACAGACTCAGGGGTGTCGCACGGCTTGTGCCGTTATCTCTGATCACGGCCTGCCTTCGGTGTCTGAACCCTGTTCTCATAATCAGCAGAGCTGCTGTGGTTTGTGTCGACACAAAGCCTCTGGGCTTGCCCGGACAGAAACAGGTTTGGAAAATGCGGCACTTTGGGAAAGTATTTCCAGTGAAGGCTGCCAGCTCTCCGTCCCCCCCACCCCCCCGCACAAGATGGAACAATTAAGCGAGGCAGCTGAGAGCTGCTCCCGAAGGTGGGTGGTCTGCTGAGGTCAGGGTTGAGGCCAATCGCGGGGCGCTGGAAGGGGAGATAAAGGGGACTGGCATTACTTGCCCAGGGACTAAAGAAAGCTTTGAGTTCCCAACCGCTCCTGTCCTCTGGCTGCAAAGGCAGAAATAACCCAGAGAAGAACTGATGTGCGTCAGCCTTCAGCTTAAACTGAGCTTTGCTGGTACCCGGTCAAACATGAAAGTGCCATTCCATGGACAATGCAGCTCATACCTGTGAGGGTGTGAACGCCACTCCGTCATTTACTCAGGTCAGAAATGTGGCACAAGTGTCTCTCTTAAAAAGCAACTGAAGTCGCAAAACTCCATGGTAACCCAAGATCCCACCACCTTGGTTTTAAGACTGTTAAGCGGGGTGGGAAATGGTGGCAAGAGGAGAAAAGGTAATTTCAGCTGCTCTCAAGTATGCACGGAGAGAGAAAACTGTGCTGGAAATGCCTAGCAAAATATTGGCTTATTTTGTACTATTATAATAAAAATACCTCAAAAGCCTAAGTGCAGCTCCGAGGTGGTTCATGTTAAAAAGGGCGCTTTAAGCGCCACTGGGTGCGGGGAGCAGAAAGGCAGGCTGCAGATACAATGGCTAAATAAAATGGATATTCACCAAACTCTGCGCTCTTAAAAATTCAGGCTGCGTGCATAGCTGGAAGCACGTGACAGAGTCGGCAAGGGGCAGTGCCCGACACTGGCTTTCCCACTCTGCCGATCCCCAGATGTGTTAAACGCAACCCTTCTCCACAGAGGTATTGGCCATGCCTGTACCCCCCATATGGGGGGGATGGTTCATTGAGAACATCTGGGTTAGAGTGTCAGCGCAGGTCTGGGAACACCCAGTTTCCAATCCTCAGTCATGATCTTTGCCGGGTTGCTTTCAGCCTAACGTCCCTCGTAGGGTTTTGGTGTGAGGATCAAGTCTGGGGAAGGAGGACGAAGGAGACCGGCACACACTGTCCCTAAGTTCCTTGGAGAAAGGACAAGATGCTGAAAGTAAAGGGAAGTATAGGAATATCTTATTTCAAAGGGAATAAAAGAATGCTTCTTGTAGGAACGAGTTTGGAATAACAATGACTCCAAGGGAAAATATATTTAGTAGTGTCAGACATGGTTCGTTCAGAAAACAGATTTAATGCGGGTACCAGGAACGTGGGGAAAAGGCAAGGCTCACTGGAGAAGAGAATAATGCTAGGGGAGGTTAAGGGCAGGAGGAGAGCAAGAGCCAGTGTGAGATCGCGTGACTCCATAAGGCCGCCATGGCCTTGAATTGGCAGAAGCTGGGCAGGGTTGTCAAGAACGGGTCACCTGGGGGGCATCTATGGGGTCACCATGCATTGGAGATAATGGGCGACATGTAACAATGACAACTGTATGTAAGAGGGAATCAAAGGAAGACGCCAGTGATTTTGCTTCACTTGTTTTTTTGCTCAGGAAAAAAGAAAAGACACGTTTTAACCCATCGTTAGATTCTGGGTCAGGGGAGCACCTAATCGAATGAACAAAAGTGCGTAAGACCAGATTCGGGGTAAGCTCAGATCGCTTGCTCTCTTGCTCAGCTTGTTATTTTCAAATGTTCCTTTGATCTACCTGAGAACACCTGATTAAGAAATTAATCTGTCATGCCCCATGGAAGTTATTTTTAAAAACTCAAAAGAGCAGGTATTGAAATACCGCACATGCTCTCCCCCAATTCCAACTCAAGAGATGCAGTAAAAAGACAGGATTTCTGTCATTCTTCAACCATGGAAACGAGGATCTCGCCCTTACAGCAGAAAACTCTAATGTGGCTTTCTCTGTACAACACCAAGACGATTCATCAAACTGTACACCTCAATTCCTTGGAGAAAGAGCCGGAGGAAAACAACAGACAAGCAACCACTGAAAAGCAGAATTTACAAGCCGTGTTCAGGTTCCTTTTGTCTGCCCAGAACGCCTGTGAAGGGCCTCCACTTAAGTGTTTGTCAACTTCCTACGGCTTGTTGATTCTAACAGTGCAATGTAAATTATTTAAGGCATGTACATAACTTTTCAATTAACAAACTGCTTGGCTCATGAAAATACACACACACCATTTATGAGGAGCAATCCCAGACTAAATATCTTATGATGAGCAGGTCACTATGAATTAAAAATGAGTTTCTAATAAAATATTTAATGACATCTGAAATTAAACGAAAGTTAAAAGTTTTCCCATTAAAACATGTCTGTCTTTTTTCAATTTGATTTGGAAAAGCTGTTAAGATCCACATTAAGATATGCAGTTGGAGGTATGAAAAACAATGCCAAGGAGAACACAATAACTCTTAGGTTTGTTTCCAAGGCTCAAGCTACACGAAAGGGCAACCAAGTGGCTCAGTGTGTGTAAATTTGGGCATACTCAAACCATGTACGAAGTGGAAGGTGGCTGCTTTTAGAGCTAACATCCTTTTGCACGGTAAATATTTACCTTCTTGCGGTGTCTTTCCAAATGTCCCTTTTCTCCTAACTGGATTTTCATGTGGGAACTGAACTCCACTAGAAGGACAATGACTGGGACAGAAGGTTATGGAGCAGAAACTGTGCCCTTCAACACCATGTCCCCTGGTTCTAAAGATGGGACCACCACTTCCTCCCAAAAGCCATTTCAGAAACAATTGGGATAAGTTTAGTCCTCCTGCTGCCACAAAATGGCACTGGGACTGCCACTCCAAAGACTTTATTTTTAGCTCTTTTGTGCTCCGAACTAAATGCTAACTCCTGACATGTGGGTTTAAAAATGCAACTGTCGGTTAAACACGAACTGGCTGTTGCAAGTCATGAATCATCTGAAAGTCTTCCTCAGAAGAAGAGCAGCTCTGCTGGAGTGGACCTGCCTAATCGGGAGAATTGGAATCCATCAAATAACTGAGAGTTGAGTGGAAAGGGGAAGTCCATTTCTGGAACCCAGAGGGCCGGATCGGGACCCTGAATGGGCTGGATTTGGTTGAGGTTTTGTACCAGATTTGACGGATTCCTGACACTTGCCAAGCTAACGGTCTACTGCTCATGATCTCCAGGCCGATGGGTGTTGTATTCTTGCATTTCCTTTTGCAGAAAGATATTGGTATCAACAGTCCAGCAACATGAAGCATTAATCTATGGTACCCAAACATCATTTCCCAGTGCCATGGAATTGATACTATTCAAAGTTAAAATGTTACCTACCATCAACTGGTGCATCAGCAGGTCTACTAAAAAAGTAATCTTGTTGCTGAACAAAACATAGGTGCAGTTTTCCACACAGTGGCTGCAGGCCAGGAGGTAAGCATTGACTGCGCTGCAGAGGGACCTGGGAGAGAAAATGACATTTTAATCGTCTTAAAATTGTCAAGCGGTTCTGCCAGAGGAGCAAACAAAGTACACCTGGGTCTAACAAGGTCAACAGAGTGACCCGTGTCACCTTTCCAACCAGATGCAGCCAGGTAGAACCAAGGAACCGCGTGCGGTCTGTATGACACCAAGAAAGCATCCTAAACTCTGACTGTATAGAAGCGTTATTCTTTTCAGCTGCCACAGAAAGCAGGATTCCTACATCCACAGAACAATGCGGACTTCTCTTCCAAGGATTTCGCTCTTTGGCAAGTATCGTGACATCTGCCCGAGGTCATTTCGGTACCTGTCCTGTGCCCAAAGTTTGTGAAAGAAACTGAGGCAGGACTTTGAAACACGAGGTTTCCTAGAAGGTGTAACCTCTTTGTGCAGAATATAACAAGGCAGATTCACAGTCTTGGTATCCCCAAAATGACGCATTCCCACATGCACCTTTCCTAAGAGAATCTCTGCAAATTAATGTCGTTGAACATTTTGACCACTATCAAAGCAGGATTCTGTCAATAGCATTCAAGCAACCTTTACGAGAAATCTAGCACCAGGGAAAAGTCAACCAGTGGCCAATTTCATTGCAAAATATTCGGGGAGAATGTATGAACACCTAGAAATAGCATCTTTTTTCTAATAGATAGCACTCAGTTTATAAAGACATTGCTGCACTCTCAAATGTGCGTGTGAGAGAGAGCTGGGAAGCAAAATGCACCTGAATGAATATGAAGAATAAAAAGGCTGCCCTTAGAGACAACTGAGAGAGATACCTTTGACTGCATTTGCACCTCTTAGGAGTGTAGAAAAAAAAAAAAAAGCAAAAATCAGGTATTTTGTACTCAGCTTGGTATAGTTATAAATGACTATACCAGGTGTGAGAATGCAGTCACACAGAATAAATTGTGATCTTACTTCTGACTATCGAGGCCTTTGGAAAACTTCCATATTGTTGTTAACATCCACACTTTTATGGCACTTTGGACACGCCTGATGTCATGGCAAGGTCAGGGCAGCGCCTTCATTAAGAAAGCTAAAATGATGTATGTCAGGACATATACTTGGCAAGATACCTGTGGCTGTTCTCCACCTGCTCTTGGAATGCTCTCGTCAGCATTCTGTCCAGGTTCCTTGGAGGCTGAGAAAGTCAAAAAGGGGGGCAGAAAGAGGACAGAAAGACTTTGGAGCTCCAAGAACAGCCCAATCACTCCTCCAGCCTGACCCACCTCTCCAGCCTGCAGGGGAACGTCGCTTTCTCGGCCTCCTTGTACAAAAGCATCAAGATCTAGGAAGAAAGCCCATAATCCTCCTTTTTGGCAGCAGGACTGGTAAGAAGACAAGAAGAGTCCTGCTGAATCCAAACCAGGGTCCATCTAGTTCAGCCAACCAGCTTCTGACAAGGTCCGACAAGCAGGACACGGCGTGCAGCGACCGCCCAAGGAGCCGGCTGCTTCCCACGTCCCAAAGCCTGGAGTGGCTTTGGGAGATCGAGGCCGCAAACGCTTGCTCTGAGCAGCCGTGCCTGTCCGGTCTGGCCCCATCAGAAGAGACAAAACTGAAGCCCCTGCCCACCTGCAATGAGTTCCAAATGCAGGCAACAAAACCATTCACGCACCACAGGAAATGAGTTGCCTCATTTGACGATCGGGTGCTTTCGATCATTAATAAAAATGTACCTTTTCCCCCAAACACTAACTTGCCTTCCCGTGGTTGTGCTTTTATACTGATGCACATTGTTTTATAACGTGTCGCAGGCGACGTCAGAATCAAAACGGGAAGCGATAGATTGCCATTTTTGAAGAATTGGACAAATATATCTGCCGTTGTATTGCAAAGGTTCTACACCCGGGTGATACAAGCATTCATTCCACAATATGAAAGACACGCAAAAGTATCTGAGCCACATTAGATACTTTCGGAAAAAAGTACGCATGAGTGATGCTGAAAGAACACGTCCGAAGATCCAAATTGAAAAGCAATTCAAACACAGCAAAAAGGCTGCCGCTGATTTTGTTTGCTGAAACATGGAGGGATTTAAGAACAGGATTGGGGTGGAGGGAAACAGTGATATAAGCTTGTTAACTACAGACAGCCATAATTAGACTGCACTTAAAAATGTTCCTCGATTCAGATTCAGTTATACCATTAAAAAAAAAAAAATCAGAATTTGAAGTGTCAGTGGTGGAGCAGCCCCCAGGTGGTTCACGGGGTTAAATGGCAGATTAAAGTCAGCACAACTAATTTCTTTATTTTAATCTTATTAAGGGAACGACAGCTGTCAACTGTCACCATTTCTGTGCAATGGCTCCGAGACAAGCATCAAATGGTTTATGTATTAAAGCGAGATTTGTTTTTAACTTCGACACAAAGGCCCGCAAAACTCTACTTTCGATGTTTTTGTTGTTAATGGGGGTGCTGTTTATTTTTCAGACACCGTCCACCCGCAGAATATATCCAGGACACAGAGAAGTCATTAGAATACTCGAACGTAATGCGATTGTTTGACAACTGTTGTTTTAACTTTTCCTTAGGCTCCCTAAATCAGCTTTAAAGTCATGTTGGATGCCATACAGAGTCTACCCCTACAATCCGTCTGATGGGCGGTTTTGCATTTAGAGCAAATCCTGGCATCCCTCCGCAGTCTGCTTGCTTTTCTTATGGTTTGGCTACAGGGAAACATTCGGAAAGCCGTTCTGCAACATGTCTAGGTGCTCTGTCTATACCATGTCATATCATGACAAGAAATGGAAAAACTTATCGGGAGGGACCACAGGCGTCTTTTCCAAAGAGGGTTCCCTGGCCAGTCCCTGGCATCTCCAACCACAAAGAACAGGTAGTCGGTGATGGAGAGGGTCTTTCTCTACCTGCCCTTCAGATGCTTCGGACTTCAACCCTTCAGCCCTCTGGAGAGGGCCGCTGCCAGTTAGAGCAGGCAACACTGGACTCCGCGATCTCACCTGCACAGGGCAGGCTCCTTCATTCCTATGGTGTTACAGAATAAAGACATACGAAGGATTCTCATGGATGTGCAGAGTGCAAGACGCTCTTGCCGTCCTGCCAAGCACCAAGCAGCGTGAATGAACCGACGGCAGTGCCAGCCACCTCAGCTACCTGGAAGTTCTCCAACGCAGCATGGCCATTCGCTGTGTTGGCCGGGGGGATGGGAACTGTAGTGCAACACATCCAGAGGACACTAGGCTGGGAAGGGTGGTCTACACACGCACGCACGCACGGACAGGCTGCCTTTTTTACATGTCTCACATCAGCAGCCTGTGGATGGGGAGTGAGAATCTATTAAGCCATCCATGTCCCTAAAAGGGAACAAGGTAGCGAGCAGTCCCATTATTTAAAATCTTAAAAACCTAAAACAAACAAGCCAGCAAGCAAGGTTATTAAAAACAGCAGCTAACAATTGAGGGCGTGTGTCTCAGTATCTCGCTTTGAAGAAAAACCAAATAAAGGAAAGAGGTAGAATTGAAAACCTGATCAAGCTTACAATATATATATGTTAATTCTAAGTTTGATACCGTGGGTGATGGTATCCGACACCTTTACTAAAATCTAAGCACATGAGATCATGAAAATCATTTAAACATTGCCTTCTTGCAAACACCTTGCAAGTATTACACATTAATCAGAAATGATCTTCCAAGCCATGCAACCACAGGAAAAAAAAGCTTTGGATCTCCAGCATTGTATTCTGAAGACCAGAACATGTGTGTTTGCACATTCATTCACTCTCTCTCCAACTAAAACTGCCAATATCTTAATCTCATATTTTATTACCTAACTTGTGACTTTAAAAAAGGAAGTGGCAGTAACTTAAACTATGGCATATAAAAATCTGCATGATTTATATGAAGGTTGATTATATTCTCCGTCTTTCAATGAAAATGAAATATTTGGAGGTGATGAAGTGATTAAAAACTACTGCGAGCTGAAATATTTCCACGGCTTAACTACTCTAATATGTCATTTTGTTAGCTTTATAGATATAGGCCAGGATCCAAAGGAAAATTTTACTCGTTTGTTTGTCCTGTACTTGAGATTTGCTTTTTTCTAATGCAACAGTCGCACTGAACCCCCTCTGAACTGGGGTAAGGAAGCTGTTAAAAGCTCTTGGTGGCACTGGATATGGTACGCTGGTTTGGGGAAGGGAGGAGTCCAAATTACGCACTCCCTGTAGGGCCTTCTAATACAAATTCTCTTGACTGTTAATGTGTGTGTGGTAACAACCATCTTCTTTGCTTTTACCAGAAAGCGCTTCAAGTCCTTTCTGCAGTGGCTGCACACAGTGGAGGGAAGAGCGTTTGTCTGTGAGCATCTTGCTCCTTCACCTCTGAAAACACAGGTGGGCAGCAAGGATGCCCAGTGGGGACACAGAACACCTGTTCTGAAGGTGCTGCTGCCCAGGCAGGCGTTGAAGGGCTTCTGCCGACCTAGAAAGCCCCATGTGGTTTAGGACCTGATTACCTGATGGGGAGTCTACTTCCTTATGTACCTGCCCAGGTACTAAGAGAGAGGGCCACATTTGCCTGGTGCTCAATCTGGTGTCCTCGGAAGAGGCATCCTCCCTCTGGGACTCGCTCCCCGGGAGCAGATTGCTTTACAGGTTCACAGTGCCAGCTCAAACTCTTCTATTTTGTGTCGACTGTGATTCATCTCTTACTTATCCCCGTTTGATTGTGCTGTTTTGCCAACTGCGTGCTATTTCGCTATATCCCTATTGCTGGTGCCCTGGTTTGAATTTGTTTTATAAAGAAAGGCAGGTAGGAAATTTATGAAAGAGATACATTTCTATCCCCTTGTCAGGCGCTCATCTGAATCTGTATGCCGATCAGGTAACAAACGCAGGTCTCACTCTCAATTTTGAAGGTATGAAGAGAGTTTACATGCACCATAAAAGAGAGAGTGGAGCTCTCTCTATCATCAGGAAGGTTCTATTTATGTCACCCACTCATTAAATCACATTCC